CAGCTCATATATAATTGTTTCGAATGTCAAATATTAAATGTCAAATAGGTGAAAGTTGTTTCAAATGGAAATTCAGAGGGAATACTTATGTCCGTCCTCTTTTTACATCTTCGTAAAATTTAGAAGATGTTAAGAATAAAGAAGATTGAGAAGCAGTGGCTTTTTGTTTTGCTTTTTTATGGAAGAGTAGTTTTTATTTTTGTTTTCAGGGAAGAGTAGTTTTTTTAGGGAAGAGTCTAAAGGCTTGAATAGCATTATAATTTAATTTGTCAATCCGTTTGAATATTAAATATTCGTTTGAATCATTTGTGGTCGCTGAAATTAACCTATTATGCCAAAACCGCTTATAGTTAAGATTTCGAAGAACTAGTAATGTTCAGATTATTAATGCAACTTTTAAAACCTTCTTTAAATTTGCTTAAATGTTATGGCGCTTTCCAATCATTTAAACTCTAATACAGTGATGGCCAAAATGTTTGCGTATGTTGTAACAATTATGATCATTATCATTAATATGGAATACAAATACACTTAGCACTGTCAAACTGAGAAATTCATGTTATACTAAACATCTATATATGTAATTTGTATAATGAGACAAGTTCTGTGGACATCTCGAACGATTTATTATAATAGCAAATAATTTTATCAGACACCTGTAGGAAGACGTGTAATTCAGCATTTCACCTATCACAACAAAACCTTACCAAAACATATATAATGACAAAATATAACATTAAATTATCATAGATAGCGTCTGTAGCCTTATATCCGTTCATATTAAACATTTAATACTTGGTTGGTTCTCCTCTTACACTAATAACCTCCACGAGGCAACGTGGCATGCTGTCGATGAGGTTATTGATGTAATCCACCGTGCTTTTATCCCAACTTGTCACTAGAAGGCGCTGCAACTCAGCTACAATAGTTGGTTTAGGGTAGTGATTAACAATTTTCCGACTACGTTCTGCCCAACAGTTCTCAATGGAATTACAATCTGGAGACTTTGCTGGCCATGGTAATCTTGTAACGTCCTTCTGGTCGAGATATTCCTGTGTAATACGCGCACTGTTGGCAATGGCATTGTCATACTGGAATACAAAGTTATTGCCAAACCTTGCCCTAGCATATGGCAGAAATATCGTCTCCATGTGACGTCTATAGGAGGCGCTATTAACCTTTATCTGGAGGAAAGAAAGAGTAGTTTTTCACCATAATGAATAGCTGCCCAAACATATACTGCACCACCTCCCATTTGTTCCCTGTGTGAAAGACAGCCTTTCCTTATATATTCTCCAGGCAAACGACAAACACGAATTCTACCATCAACTTTAACAGGCTGGAAACAGGATTCATCTGAAAAGATGACATGTCGCCAGTGTCCTAACTGTAAGTTAGCATGCTGTCTTGCCCAAGTAATATGGTGACGGCGGTAAATTCTGGTTAATATCGGTTTGCAGATAGTTGTTCTTGCAAAATAACCTTGTTTTGTCAGTCTCCTATTCACTGTTCTTCTGATTACCCTGGTATGAACGTGTTCATGCCATTCCAGTCGTAAGGTGTTGCAAGACTTCTTTCGACCTTGACATGTTAACCTGATCAAAACACAGTCATCTCGGGGCAGTAATTTTTTGGCGTTTACCAGTAGACTTTCCTGGAACAACGTTTCCTGTATTCTGGTAACGTTTCAGGATTCTGAATACAGTACACTGAGGGTACCCTACTGTTCTGGCGATGTCCGTTTGCTTCATACCATTTCTGGACAGTCGAACAATTTGACACCATAAAACTTCTGGCACATGACGAAACATGACTCTGCACCAAGTACAGAGTAATTGTCTAAACAAAACGTTGATCTGTTTCGACAAAGAATATACCAAAAGTATACTCTTTTATACTAAATAGATGTGAATGTGTGTTTTGACGAAGAAATGCTCCAAACAACTTATAAAGATCACAATAACAATTCGTACATGTTTGTCCGATCATACGCTACCTTCTCTGTTACTACTCGGGCATTTACTCAATAACTATTCCTTGAAGACAATAACATCAATATAAAACAGTAGGTAAACATTTTAGACAAAACTGTATGTTTTGTTTTTCACAATTAGATGCTTTTTTATAATTTGTTTCATTTTAACCCTATCCCCACCAAATGTTACTTCTTGAAAGGGTAACAAGATTGTTTAACTATGTTTACTATTATGCAGTAGCTAGATAGAGGGACTGGGGAACGTTTAACACAATATTAGTCGCTTTCTGATCAATACAGAGAAATACTGTTACTCAAGTTAGTTTACCGCGGTCTGTGAAACACTAAGTGCTGTTAAAAGTAAGATAATGTTTTGATTAGGCTGAAAAGACCACATTGCAAAAACACCTTCTAGCCCACGTAAATAATTACCTCAATGAAACATTTGTCATTAAATGACAGTATCAGTCGTGTTGTTGTTTCTACAAAACATTGTGTAACAAAATTTAAAAGACAGTGTTTCTACACTCAGTGCTATCGAAATGTCACTCTCCTGCCTCTTAGCGGTTTACCTAGAAGCACTTTAATCTAATGTTAATTCGCAAGAGAAAATAGTTCAAACATCTTTATATGGCTGTAGATGTTTTGGGAAATATTTTAAATAGAATTCCATGTATATATTACAAATAGACATTTATGTATTAATTCTTTGTGTGTTTTACTGATGGAAATCATTTATAAATAGGCTACTAAATATTAAGTTCATTTTTTATATTACCTTCTACCCTGAGTAAAAACATTTGTTTTGGTTGTTTTTTATTTTTTATATAGCAAAGCCACATTAAGCTATTTACAATGTCTAGCGCGAGGAATCGAAAGCTGGATTTTAGCGTTATAAGTCCGTAAACTTACTGCTGATCCACCGGGAGACGAGCAAAAAAAATTGGGAAATTTATAAATGGTCCCAAACTTTCAAGCAATGTACCTTTATTAATTAATTATTATTATTTATTTCCTTGAACTGTATTAATTCAGGGAACTAAGCAGAAAGCAAAAAGAGATAATGAATATACAAAAACGATAAAGACACAAACTATGGCGTTCGATACCTGAGGAGCACATATCACTGAGCAGTCATAATCATCAATTCATGATAATAATTTTTTTATTATTTTAAACGTTTCAACCCAAACCAAGAATTAGGATTGAACGCAACCAGGGATGTTTTTCTCTTCATCCTCACCCGTGAAAATGATTCAGACTGAGCAGTTTTAGTGCTGCGCCTTTAATAAATAAACCAAAGATTAGGAAAAGGTATCCTTATAAGATCGGTACCTGCAGGAATAATAACCACACAGCATTGGGTATACTATTAAGTGTAGGAAGTTTATATGTTTCAGATAAAGGTGAGGGAATACTACTATTATGTGAAGGACTGTTTGTTTGTTTTGAATTTCGCGCAAAGCTACACGAGGGCTATCTACGCTAGCCGTCCCGAATTTAGCAGTGTAAGACTAGAGGGAAAGCAGCTAGTCATCACCACCTACCGACTACTCTTTTATTAACGAATAGTGGGATTGACCGTCACGTTATAACGTTCCCACGGCTGAAAGGGTGAGCATGTTTGGTGTGACGGGGATTCGAACCCGCGACCCACAGATTGCTAGTCGAGCGTCCTAACCACCTGGCCATTCCGGGCCTACGTGAAGGAACTTTATAAATTTGAAAGTTACATTCTCAACAATTATAAACAAAAATTCGTATCCATAGCACTACTAATTTAATGTCTAAATTTAAATACTGTATAACAGTTTCTTTCCATCGGATATTTTTGCAAAGCTACATAAAGGCTAACTGTCCGAAATATTGTACTGCCAGAGTAGAGGGAAGCAAGGTAGTAAAACCACACTATTCGGCTAGGTCATGAGTTGACGGGGGTGCTTCTAGTCTATCAGTTCAGACCAGTTAAATCATCAGAGTATTTATATGTCAAAGTAATGAAGTCTGGATATAAACTAGTCAGACTAGTTAAATCATCACAGTGTTTGTATGACAAATTAATGAAGTCTGGATATAAACTAGTCAGACTAGTTAAATGATCAGAGTATTTGTATGTCAAATTAATGAAATCTGGATATAAACTAGTCAGACTAGTTAAATCATCAAAGTATTTGTATGTTAAATTAATGAAATCTGGATATAAACTAGTCAGACTAGTTAAATCATCAGAGTGTTTGTATGTCAAATTAATGAAGTCTGGATATATTAACTAGTCAGACTAGTTAAAGCATCAAAATATTTATATGTCAAATTAATGAAGTCTGGATATATTAACTAGTCAGACTAGTTAAAGCATCAAAGTATTTATATGTCAAATTAATGAAGTCTGGATATAAACTAGTCAGACTAGTTAAATCATCAAAGTATTTGAATGTTAAATTAATGAACGTCTGGATATAAACTAGTCAGACTAGTTAAATCATCAGTGTATTTATATGTCAAAGTAATGAAGTCTGGATATAAACTAGTCAGACTAATTAAATCATCAGTGTATTTATATGTCAAAGTAATGAAGTCTGGATATAAACTAGTCAGACTAGTTAAATCATCAGAGTATTTATATGTCAAAGTAATGAAGTCTGGATATAAACTAGTCAGACTAATTAAATCATCAGTGTTCCTGTGTTGTTTACACAAAGTTTTTATGTCAAACAAACACATTTTAACAGTCAATATGTATTTCATATAAAACAAATAATGAGGAATTCTATGTTTTGTGCTTCCTGAGAACTCTAGAAGAACACTTCCTTTGTTTTAACCACCACTTTTATAGACTTTGTCCGAGTTTCAAAATGGACGGTATGTCACGAATTCGATCTGATTGCTGCTATATAGCAACCAAATATTCAAAAGCGATTCAGTAACAAGGGAACAGATGTCGAAATGTCGTACAACTTGATATTTTAAATGAATGTGGTTCAATAAGATTATTCTCTAATTAAATTTGATATATATGTACCACTAGATGTCATGCCAAGCTGTCTACAAAAGTTCTGAGGGACGGATAGATGAGCTGATTTCATTGCCAAAAAAGGACGTTAGGAACGGTATCATTCGTTATCATAAGTTATACCACAACTGCACAGGTCATCACGTACGGATTACACCGGTGAAGAGGAAAAGAAGAAGAAAGAAATCCAAGAACAAATGTGGTCGATTTAAAGCTATAGGGAAGAGTGATGATAGTTATAGTAAGTTACTAAGGTTTATCCTTTCTTTTTTTCCCCTTTAGAATACATTTGCATAATCAGTTTGAAACCATCAATCAAAGTTTAGCTGTGAGTGAACTTCTTTTTAACAGGGGTTCTTATCTATTTGCATCAATTATTCAAATTGCTTGAGAACTCTGAGTAATCGCGTGCTATAGACTGGCTTACCCAACTAAAATTGTAAGACAAGGGGTGTTTTAAACCTCACATTGCACACTTGTCCCAATATTGAACTTTGCACATGAAAATACAGGGCTATTGATCCATGGATTAACGATCCGTCCCATTAAGAATCACTCTTCGCATTGTTGGTACGTGGATGCGTACTATCAAATCCCATATTCAAATAGAGTAGCCCAAGAGTTGGCATCGGGTGCTGTTGACTAATTGTTTTCCTTCTAGACTACCAGTTCAATATTTCGTATAGCTAGTACACAGAACCCTTGTGTAGCTTTACATAAATATTAGAAACAAACAGACAAACAGTCTATTTTTCTCTATAACCGCCATTATTAATTAACCTTGTTTTTTACCTTTTGTTTTTCATAATATATGTTTTTGCGTATCCTATCTACTTATAGTTTTTTCTTTAAATGGTGATTGTTAGCGCCATGTTTTATTTTGTACTTTTCATTTTTAATAGAGATTATTGAGTATCTTATGTCACTTATAATTCTTTTAATGGAAGTTGTTGAGTATACCCGATATAAATAACCTGCTATTGTTTATTTGTGATATATGTTGGATATTCTGTTTTTAAAGTATATTTTAATTATATTTTTATAAACTTAAAATAGTAAAAAAATGCCTGTAGCATTGTTCGATTCACAGTAGAAAACTGTCACAGGAAAGACAAAGAACGTAGAAATATAATATATGCTTTGAGTTTAAGTACAATCAAAACATGGGCTG